CAGAGTGATGGGTTTTAACCACAAGAACATCCTATGTGCTCATGAAAACCCTAATGCTTGGATCTAAATTTCTCTAATTGTACATGCATTCATCCACGACTTTCTAACCCTAGATCTAGTGATAATAATTCGAAATTATAATGACCAAGTCAGATCTAGAAGATTACGTCTTGTTGCTTGGTTGAATCTTCTTGTCCTTTATGCTTAGAATCACAAGTGTAACTCCTCTAATGGCTTACAAAAACCAACTAGCAAGAGGGTAGTGTTTGATAGAGGGAGGAGGCACACAAAATCGGCTCTAGGGTTCGAGGAAAGCAAGTCGGCGATTTTTGTAACCTAGGGGGTCTATTTATACTGTAAGCAGCTAGGGTTTCAGTCAAAACCCTAATGGATAGCTTAAACATTAAGGAACCCATGGAACCTTCTGGAATAAGGACATGGATGAAAATATGATGGACTCCCATCATAATTTCGTTCACCCCTTAGTCCATTAGGTTTCCCAACCCAAAATACAACTATCAAACATTTGACAGTTTAAGTCCCCTTTATTCAAATGAAGATTGGTAAAACCATATAATAGACACTAAAACTAAACCTTAACTCAAAACCTAACTATCGTACTTTTCAATGGATTAAAGTAGTGTTTGTTGAAGTATGCCAATTTACAACATCAAAAATATTTGACCTTAAATCACTAACTGTGAAGTGTGAAAATGGAAACATGCAATAACTCGTCGTCAACTTAAATTAATCAGTTTTACATACATTTAACAATAAACATGAAATGAAATCAAAGTATACACAGAAAAAGAAAGATGATTCAATATACCCTATTCTCCTCCTCGTCTCTCTTCTCGTGAAAGCATAACTTGAAATCAAAAATCAAACCCAAAATGAAATTAACCACACAGCAGAAAAGGTAGGAATTCAATACAGAAGAGGAGTGAAAGACATACACATACTGATTTTGTAAACTACTTCAAATTGCTATTTCAAAAAAATCATCATATATTAAGCAAAAAATAGGTTTTTGAATGTATCCACTTAACTGAAAATCCCAAGCAGAAATTCAAATATGGGAGGATACTCGATTTTACCTTGGTTCATCGACATGAGTTCTTTTCTCTCTCTCTCTCTCTCTCTCTCTCTCTAATTAACAATAATTGCAAAGAGTGTTGAATGACTTTTAGGGTTTTCAGAGAGAGAAATAAGAGGTATATCCCAATCGATTTTCATCCTAATTTATTGGGATTGTGATGAAGATATTACTAATTTTATGGGATGGTCTTAATAAATTAAAAACGCAAGACGCAAAATTGAAATTGGAGAAGCAAAACGACACGTGGTGTAATATTGATTTAAGAGTTTGGCACATGGCATGACACATGGCAGAAAGATATTAACATTGTTTATTTATTAGATAGGGATATATCTTTTGCTTAATTTGAATATATTGTCATTATCATTTTGGACAAAAGGATACATCAATAGTTTGTGAATAATGTTTTCTCTCAAATATAGACATTGCTATATGAGTTGTTTTCATGTTGTGGCATCCAAGAGATGTCAAGATTTAATGAGTGCAATTCACTATGCTTGCTAAGTAACATGCATCTTCTAAAAAAAACTAATCATAATTTATGTTAAGAAAGGACTCTTAGATGTATTTTGTCAAACTTGTTTGACTTCTGAATGATGAATCAGCGATTAACTTTTTATACTTTACAATTCCCACCAAAAAGAATCCAATGAACATAAGAATTAGATTGCTTCATTGCTGAATGATAAGTTTCATAGCTCATAGAAGAATATATATTTAGTGAACAAAAAATAGAAGCACTAAACTACAATGGATGCATTCACTACTAGAAACATAGGATTCAGAGACGGACGGGTCCGTCGCTAAAAAGCGTTTGCGACAGATCAGCGACAGATTTACTCTATAGCCAATTAGAGTGTGGCTAATGACTTAGCAAGGGGTTTAGCGACAGATCAGTTTTTTTTTTTGCGACGGCTATAGCAACAGAATGTCCATCGCAAATTGGTCACTTAATATGGTTATTTAGGACACCAGCGACAAAACGTAATACAATATTCCGTCGCAAATCCCTTGCAATGCTCTATTTTTTTTTTCGTCGCTAGTCCCTCACAAATTTAAGATGTGATTTTTTTTTCATTCTGTAGCTAATCCCTCGCAAATCTAGGATGTGATTTTTTTTCTTTCCCTAGCTAATCACTCGCAAATATATACTATGATATTTTATTTTGGTTACTAATTTAAAACAAAAATGACAAAAACATCAAATAATTATAAAATCTCAAACCAAACATTAACATATAAATACCAAACACATCCAAAATTTATACAGTCCAAACATTAACATTAAAATACCAAAAGCATTTGTCAAAGTTTAACATTGATTAACTTTTGATTTCAAAGTATAAGGTACCATAATTCTTAATTTCATCTCATATTTTGCATTTCCACATACATCTCCAATTCTTGATATCTTGCGTCCAAAAGAAGGGTTGGAATGGAACTGGATTCCGATTCCAGTTTAGTTCCATGGATATAGGATCACGTGCTACTTACTTTGATGTCTTCCAGCTTTTTTCTAGATAAGGGATCTTTGTTGGAAGCAAATGCAGGATAGGAATGGAATTGAATTCCGATCCTAACCAAAAAGTAAACAAGGAAGGAAATACGGTGTTTTCCAATTGCTCTTCAGATTTAATTTTTTGAACATTTGTGTTGAATATTACGGACCATCTACCACACCAAAATTAACAACACATTTAGCATTTTTATAAATAAAAATAAAATGAAAACAAAAAAAGATGCAATATTTTGAATTAGGAAGGAAATTACAAAACTAACCTTCGTGGTCTCTAGGTCTTGCCATGTGCACTTCTCTCATTGCATACAACCGCCTTTATCTGCACAATTTTATACCACCAAAAACTCTGAAAGTTGATTCCTCACCAATAGGAAAAAATGCACACATTATATAAAGTTTTTATCCATGAAAAATTATTTTATAAAACTAAAAAAAAAGTACCTACCATCAATTATTTCGAGGAGTTGTAAATAACTCATTTTTATTCAAATTATCTTCTTTCATTTCAAAAGTCAGCCGTTGACTTAAGTAGGAAGAAGTGGAAGTGGTTGTCTTGCATCAGAATTTACATAATGACAGCCTGAAAAAAAAATTAAAAACCAATGTTAAAGATTTTATATATAAGTACTCAAAATTATTCATTAAAAAAACAAGCATCTTCACCTCCTTGTTAGCACCTGCTATCATATTAGTGAAATTCAAGTCTGTTGACCTGTCATAGATTATTCATAAGTTCTCAAAATCAGTATATAATTTATTAAATACTTTATAGAATTAAAAATAATTTTTAAATATTTTTAACTTAGGAGTAATACCTGATGTTGCTTTTAACAGGTTCCAATTCCAACACTCTTTTTTCTTCATTCTTAACTTTTGATAGAGGGAAAAAGAATTGGATATAGAAAAAGAAGCAAAAGTTGGTAGAATGTTTATGAAAGAAATGGAATCTACCAAAGGAATTGGAATCTCCAATTTCAACTATATCGGAATCCACAAACCATTTACCTGGTGCATTGAAATGAAAACAACAGAAATTCCTAGCATGGAATTTATAGTCAAAGTATGACCAAACAAAGGAGTAGATGCAAAGCTTGTGAAGATTGTTGCAACAATTGATGAATATTTTTTTAAAATTGTATCTGCATCGCACAAACAAATAATATTATAACTAAAAAATAAATAAGTTATATTTTGGGGTTTTGTACAAAAAATAAATAAGTCATATTTGAAGAAAAATGATAATAAAACTCCTTGCCCTGCCGTGCATTATTTATAATCAAAAGCATGGTAGCTTTTGAATGTCCATGCAAAATATCAGATCTTTCAGGCCCTAAAAAATAAAAAAATAGGACATAAATTAATTGTTTTGCATTCTTTTGTTGTTCAAAAATAAGACATAAATTTTGGTTGGTAGATTACACGTAAATAGAGTTATCAACTAGTCAACTCAACTATTTTTTTTACATGTAAATCAAGTTCTCTCAAATCTACATATGCATAGACCAATTCAGTATATGAAAAAATGAAAGTGAAATAATAATAATAATAATAATAATAATAATAATAATAATAATAATAAAAAAAAAAAGATAAAGTAGTGTAAAGAAGCAGAGTAAAAGTGTCTTACAACTGATTGTTTATGTTGTTTCTGTAGATGTAATAATCCATCATAACCTACATTTAACACAAGCTCTCATAAAGCCTTTTTGAATCACACTACCCTTCTGAAAATAGAAGTCACATCTACAAGAATAAAAGAATTGACACTTTAAAGTGCTTAAAGAATTACAATTTAGAAAAAAAAAAAAAAAAAAAAAAAAAAAAAAAAAAAAGTAAACTTCCAACTTACCATAATCAGTTGCAATACTATGTGATGCTGCAGTTTTGTTGAGTTTCTCTATTATTTCCAGTATTTGGAGACTAATAGCAGCATTAACCTAAAATAAGTAGGCCTTTTGAGGGATAATTTCTTTAATGTTTTAGAGCAACAAACAAGTGAAGTTAGTAAATAATCTGACAAAAAGATTATTGTTGATAGTTGTGTTTCATTATACCTCCAACAGTGACTAAACCATCTAAATTCAAGACCTTGCATGCAGCCATGGCAGAATTTACTTGATCTGAGGTTCTTATTTGGTCATTTGTTCATCCCAATGGATCATAACCACCTTCAAAGGATTAAGATAGTCACAAATGAAATTACTTGAAGAAACTAGAAATCAATACACCAGTCAATGAAATCTACAATTTTTCTAAGTATCAGATGTATTTCAGAATACATACAAGTTTTTTCCTCAAAACAGGATGTAGAGATTCTCTACTTGTGTTGAAGCTCCAGTTCTAGAAGATTGTGCTTGAGCCAAAGCTTCTCTTAAAGAACACGGTTAGCCTACGAGTTCACTCTTTTCCACAAATATCCATTTTCAGATGCACCTTGTGGCTGCATTTCATGTGATGAATTTAGAAATACAATAATCAGGTGTCATGATGACTGAATATGACAAGAAGGAAGAGATTATAAAAAAAATATACCCTAATTTCTTAACGAGATGCGTAAGATAGATACTAATTAATGGTAGGTGAAAGTGGAGACAATTAACATATATATATATATATATATATATATATATATATATATATATATATATATATTATATATATATATATATATATATATATATATATATATATATATAAAGGTTGCTTAAAATACATAAACTATTTGATACCTTTCCTTGAATGCATTTTCTCCCATAGTCCACTATATGAATGCTTGAGTCCACAATTACACTTTAATTAGATCCTGAAACAAGGAACGAAATTTCTACCTGTCACATTAGGTATTATTCAAAATAGTGAGATACTCAAATGATAATCGCTCTCTATGGACTATTGGATGTTAACTCTAAATACCACACAACATGAACAAAGCTCTAACATAAAGATTCATATATAATACTCACATTCCAACAAAGTTGTATGAGCAAGAGCAAGCTACATCATAGCCTCTACTTTGTTGTGTTAATCCAAAAATATGGGACAATTTAAGTCCAGGGGTATTTTGGGAAAAACCTTCCTATTTTAAGTTTTTGTGTTAGATTAGGATTTGTTTTGACTAGCCATATTAGACTAGGTTTCCTTTATGTTTAGTATAAATAAGTTCAAGTAGATTGAAGTTTCTAGGTTATTTTACCTTTGAAAATAAAAGTATTCTTCTAATATATTTTTGTCTTATGTGTCCCCCGTTCCTTCCTGTGTATCTGTGTGCATTGAGTTTAATTATCTTAGTTATTCCTAAGTGAATAAGTTATAATCAGTAGCTTATAGTTTTTATTACCTGTTACCTTTCTTCCCCATTTTCGTCCCCTGTTCTTGATATGTGGGTTCACCTCTGCATTATTGCAGAAAGTAACATCACTTACAGATTTGCAACATCTCAAACTTAAACATCAGCAACACAAGATGGAATGGGTCATCTCAAACTCAAACATTGAGGATCATCAGTTATAGATTTGCGAATGTAAGCCACCACAATCAATACAAAAAATAATTACAACATGAAATCTTTAACCAAATTATAGATATATGAATATACAAACATGTCGAGCATGTTTTACAAAAAGCAAGAACACAAGCACACCAACGGTGTTAAAGTCAGCCACCTTAATAGCAGTCGATTTCAGGACTCTTTTAGAAAAAGAAGCATATTTTTGGCACTTTTTTGCACCCTAATAACTTGATTTAATTCCTATATTGATACTAAGAAGTTAGGGTTTACCTTCTTCAATGAAGGCGGAGAGAACCGAGTGGAGGGAGATGACAATAGAGGGTGAGTTGGTGGAGAATGACAGCGAGAGCAGGGCAACGACGATGATGTGGCCAATTCCTGAGCGGTGGCAGCCAGCTCGACCGCTGGTGGATGCTAAATCGGTGATGGTGATGACGATAGAAGGTGGAGGGCGACATAGATATGACGAAGAGGAGCGGAAGGCTTGAAGATATGAGACTGAAACGAATGAAGATGGTATGCACTCCCATTTTGAACCCTAGAACAGAGTGGGAGGTGTGCGACCAAGCAAAGATGAAGAGGTGGGAGACAAGCCATTTTCGTGAATGAGAGGCAAATAAAACCTAGAAAAAATTTCAGGGAGCGGAGTATCAATTTGTGAGACTCTCCTTTGAGAGAGAACTGAAAAAGCAAGCGGGAAAATATAATAGCGACCGATTTACGGGTTATTTTCTAAAAAACATTAGCAAGGGATAATTCCATCGCCATTCCCGATCTAATCCCTCGATAAACCGTCGTTGATCCCAACCTAATAACTGCATTTGATTATTTTTCACTTAATATAGTTTCGGTCGGAAACCCATCGGAAATCCGTCGCTGATTCAGCTAGGGATATATCTGTCGCTAATTCCGTCGCTGAATGTTCAATTTCTAGTAGTGATTAGAGTAACAACTAACAATGCATTAGCTAAATAGAGAAAGAACATATGTAACATTTAATCGATCGATAATTTGAATCCAAGTAAACTTTACAAAAGGGAACAGAAAAAAAAAGATGAAAAAGCTTCACGATTACTAAAATGCCTAGACAAGAATTAAAAGCATCACAAATCACTTGAACTCATTACCTTTAGGACCATGATCATGCAAGAGCACCTACTTCCCTGCGTCCACTTTCAACAGAATCACCTTACTGCCACTAAGGAAGTCCAGATGGAATCTTGAGCCTTGATATTTGGTGGGAAAATGAAACCTTTAGCTTCCAAAAGCTTAAGAATCTACAAGTATGAAGACAACAAAAGCAATACTATATTAGGATCGTTGATTTGATGAGAAGACAATAGAAGGATACTTGAAACAAGTTTATCAAAAGATAATCAACAAGTACTACTGCTATAGTACTACAACTAATGATCATATGAATTTTACAAAGACATAAATTGTGAAAGCAAAAAAAAAATTATACGTAAGAAGAGAAGCCCTCAATTCTAAGCTAGTAAGCTCCTTGACATGGCGGAGATTTACTATAAATCCTTTAAGCATCCCTTCTCCCACTGGCGTTGGTTCACAATCCCCAAGATTAAAATAATCTAATTTAGCTTTGACTAAAGAAGCCACATTTAACAACAAAAGCATCCGTAACGACAGATCACCTTCGATTGTTAGTCATAAAATATTAGGAGCATTGATTTCAATGATATCGTCATCAAAATACGAACCACCATTATAATTGTCCATATCCAAGTATCCGGAGAACACCAAGTTCTTGAGGCTCTTTGAAGTAATATCAAGCCGCTTATAACCATAGCATTCACCCAACTCCAGAGTTTCCAATAGAGGACTCCCCGATAATATATTTTCAATCAAGTCTTCATCTAGTTTCCCATGGAAAATAGACAAACTCCTAAGATTTTTCCAACTAATCGACCCTATAGGATTAAACTTGCAGCCTAATAATCTCAGATCTGTAAAACATGAATTGATGAAAAAAATTTGATCTAACAAAACCGCAGCTTCACTTCCCGTACACCAAAACTCGAAGTTAAGCTCTTCAACGTTACAATTCATAGCATAACGAATCCAATTGTTGGCATGTGCTTCAAATCGCCGACAAATATTATATCGATTATGATAATGGTGACCATTGATGGTAAACACTTGGAATTTCTTGAGCTTCAATCCGTGAAATTTACTTAAGGTTTTGTAGATGAACGAAGCGAACTCCAACGGCGGATAATTATCATCTCTGAAAATCAGAGAAGGAACCCAAGTCCAAAGATGTTTCCATCGCTTAGAGAGTGTATCTGTTTTAATGGCGTCTTTTGTGGTGGGTAAACGAGACAGGATTTCATGAAGCAGGCAATCTGGCAACGCACTGATTCGATCTTCTTTCCCCTCCGCTTTTGTAACGCCGTCTTTCATCTCAGTAACAACATTTTCAAGATCGTTGTTTGAGTTCCCCTCTTCTTTCCTTGTTTCTAGTTGATGAAAAGGTTTTTGTTTTCTCCCAAACCCAGCGACAGTTGCAAAAACGTGATGATTTCCGATCCAGATAGCACTTAATTTCCTTGCTAACTCCGACTCATCTTGCACCCTCAAGAATCTAACGAACGCGAATCGCTTCCCCAACTTAGATAACTTACGACCCAAATAAACATCGGAAACAGTTCCAACTTCTCCACACATCTTCCACAGATCTTGGGATTCCATATTAGGAGGGAAATTAGTGATATAAATCGACACTGCTTTCTCTTTGTTTGGTGTCCCATTCTTACATGTATTTATTTTCCACTCCAAGTCGACTGATGAGTTTACTTTAGGTTTAAAAGAACGACCCATTCTAACGACGCTACCATGCACAGCACTAACGTACTGAAAGTCCGACTTCCGGTGATATCAACAAAGTCAATGCGACTAGGGTTTGCGTGAGTGGGTTTAAAAATAAAAAGTTTAATATTAAACATTAAAATTTTATAAATAAAGTAATTGAAAAAAAAAAAAAAAAATCAATGAGTTTGTAACATGTGAATTTATTGTTTTTTTAAATTTTTATCAAATATTTACATATAATTAATTTTATTAAAATAATATTATTGAAATTCATATATAAACCAACGAATAGCATAAAAAATATATAATTCATATCATATTGATAATATTCAAAAATTGCAAGTCTAACTAAAACATAAAATATCAAAATTTAAGGAACATAAAATTACTAGATTAAACAACAAATAGATATTTTCGTTTATGTTTTTCTAAATCAAAATATCATAAATTTTTTTTAATGTAAATATCATATTTAAAATTTTTAAACTTTGAAAATATTAAATTTATTTAAATCCTTAAATTCTCATTTTATAAAAATCTTGATTTTATTTTTCAAAAACATCAAATTTAGAGTATTAATTGGAAGATCTTTTCGCCTTATTGTAACCATCACCGCAAATTATTTACATGCATAATGACTTGAGAAAATACGATGTCGGGTGAGCATGGGATAAGATGTTGGACGGGAGAACATTGGTTGAGATGAGGACGGCATCCCCATAGATAGAGGATGACAAGAACATGTTCAGATGATGGATATTACTAGTATTTATGGAGAAGGCCGGTGTTTCACGTGTGTTTCAGTATCGGGACTTCGATAACACGAAGCCCCCGACTTTCGAGGGAGTTTAGGACCCGATTGTAGCTATGAGGTGGCTGTCTGATGTGGAGGGATGTTTTTTCACTTGCTCCTGCCCTGCCGACTAGAAGGTTAGGTGTTATCTGAACCTCCTGAGGTCTGAAACCAAGGATTGGTAGAGGCTCGATACCAGTTCCTACTCTGCTGAACATAGAGTTGTTGTGACTTGGGAGTAGTTCTTTGAGATGTTCCGTTCTCGTTATGTGTCGCTGGTGGAGAAGGAGAGATTGACCCATAAGTACCTGGATTTAAGGCAGGGTGCTGAGTCGGTGACGGAGATCACCAAGATGTTCACAGAGCGAGCTATGTTCTGCCTTGAGTTTACTAGATTTGAGCAGGCTCAGAAGAACTGTTACTTGAGCATGCTCAAGAAGGAGAAGGCAGCTCGTCTCTACCCAACATTATGGATCATTATTGGAGATGCAGGAGGCCGCTAGGCTGCGTGAGCTTAAGATCAAGTTGCAAACTTGGGAGACGAGACCAACCCCGGCGCAGTTGCAGTCTGTACCGAAACGGATTAGGGCTGCTGATTCCATGACGGGGAGTCAGAGGGGTCACACTTGCGAGAAGTGCGATAAGGTGTATGATAGGGTTTGTAGATCTTCTTCGGGTTGCCACAAGTGTGGCAGGTAGGGCCATTTGGTGAGACATTGTAGGCAGCCGACTCCAACTTCTGGCGTTAGACTTTATTACCTTTGTGAGCAGGTGGCCATATGAAGCCCTAATGTCCCCTACTAGCTGCCAAGATGGCTCATGCTCCAGAGTGGCTACATTGAGGATTACTGACGGGAGTCATGGTAGATCAGAGCCCCCGAGGGCTAGGGAACGCTCTTTTCAACTCACTGCTGAGGAGTCCAGGATAACACCCGATGTGGTGGTTGGTATGTTTCTATATCTTATCTTGTTGATTATATTTTTTTTATGCTTATGTGTTTGTACCTATGATTATGTACATTTTTAGTGAACTTCTTTCCTGCTTTGGTATTATTTGACTCGATGGTGAGTCGGTCATTTCTCTCTCGATCCTTTAGTAGGGAGTTCGGTTTGCCTGTAGGACTACTAAAGTGTCCATTGCGAATCTCTATCACCAACGAACACCGGAATTCTGCTTCTTCAGTCTATCGGGGTTGCGTTCTAGAGATCTTCGGGGTATCCTTCCGGATTAACTTGATCCCAATTCCCATGGGGGATGTCTGTATGATCGTGGGTATGGACTGGCTAAGTCGTTTCGGTGCCATGATCGACTACGAGGTTCAGCGGGTGGTAGTTCGAACCCCAAGTGGGGGAGAACTGGTTATTTATGGAGAGGGCACCAGGTTAGGATCAGGGTTTTTCTCGGCAGCCAGGACTCGACAGTATATTCAGCACGGGTGTGCGGGTTATCTGGCGTATGTGGTGGATACACGGGCCAAAGGTTAGGTCTCAGTGTCAGATGTTCCAGTTGTTAGAGATTTTGTTGACGTATTCCTGGAGGAGTTACCCGGAGTGCCTTCGCAGAGGCAGGTCAAGTTCAGGATCGTGCTTGTGCCAGGTGCGGCCCTTATCACCAAGGCGATGAACCGATTGGCACCACCCGAGATGCAGGAGCTTTCTTCTCAGCTGCAGGAACTGCTAGGCAAGTAGTTCATCCGTCCGAGCAGTTCTTTGTGGGGAGCGCTGATTCTCTTCGTCAGGAAGAAGAATGCTTCACACCGGATGTACATTGATTATTGGGAGTTGAACAAGTTAACGGTGAAGAACCGTTATCCACTCCCGAGGATAGATGATCTCTGCGATCAGTTGTAGGGAGCATCTTGGTTCTCCAAGATAGATTTGAGGTCCGGGTACCATCAGGTTAGGGTAAGGGAGGAGGACGCGGAGAAGACCATGTTCTGGACTTGTTATACGCATTACGAGTTCGTGGTGATACCATTTGGTCTTACCAACGCGCCAACAATATTCATGGATCTGATGAATCGGGTATACATGTCAATGCTTGATCGCTCAGTCATCGTGTTCATAGATGTTATCTTGGTGTATTCCAAGACCAGAGAGCAGCATGAGGAGCATCTCAGTGAGCTATTGGGAGTCTTAAGGTGAGAACGACTTTATGCCAAGTTTTCAAAGTGCGAGTTTTGGTTATGAGAGATTCAGTTCCTTGGACATCTCGTTAACCACGAGGGGATTTTGGTTGATCCAGCCAAGATCGAGGCGGTTATGCGGTGGGAGGTTCTGAAATCTCCCTTAGATATCAGGAGCTTCTTGGGATTGGAAGGGCACTACCGGAGATTCATACAGGATTTCTCCAAGATTGCAGTACCCCTTACTCATCCGATGAGGAAGGGGGTGGATTTCTGGTGGGCCCCTGAGCAGCAGACTGCATTTGAGACTCTATGACAACGACTCTACGAGGCGCCAGTTTTGACACTTCTCGAGGCAGTTGAGGATTTTGTGGTGCTCTATGATACATCGATCACTGGATTAGGAGCAGTCCTCACGTAAAGAGGGCATGTAATAGTGTGTGATTCGCGGTAGCTGAAGCCGCATGAGATGAGATATCCCACACACGATCTAGAGTTGGGAGCGGTGGTATTCGCTCTCAAGATTTGGAGACATTATCTATACGGGGTGTGTTGTACCATATACACGGACCACAAGAGTTTGTGTAACATCCCAAAATTCATGACCAAAAATTTCATTTTGATTAATCAAAAACTGCTTAATAAATTTTGATCAAGCATTTAACAACATTCTTAATATAACAATTATCAAAGTTTTAAATCCCAAAGATCATCTAGTGTGGAAAACATGGTGTGATGCGCTGCGATCGCTCCGAGCTCCTTCCTTGGAAAAACATTAGTACCTGAAACAAATAGCTGAAATCTGTAAGCACGAAGCTTAGTGAGTTCCCCAGATACCATATACCATACATATCAACTAATCCATACATACCATACATAACCATGAGCCATACATAAAAAACGTATCTATAATCAAGTAAGGCGTTATGTGCCAACATATTCTTGACAAGGTGCTATGAGCCAAACATAGTCTTGCTTTTATGCCACGGGCCGCACGTGCTCTTCATGGTCAAGCCTGGGGCCGCTCCCTGGGTCTTATAGACAAGTGCCAAGGGCCACCCGCTGGTCTTCCATACAAGCATCACAAAGACAACTATACATACTACTCTACTATGCTACTCAGCATATAGTGTCCCAGGAGCCACCTCCTGGTCTTTCATACTGTTGGGTCAAAAATATGGTTTATACTTTGCTTTTTTGGGCAATTATATTTTTTTATAATATTTATGGAGTTTACGGTCATGTTTACGGTTGAGTTTACGGCCGTAAACACCTTACGACCGTAAACCCATTTACGGCCCATGTCCACCAAGCCCATATTCTCCAAATATAAATATAGTTGTTAGGGTGAGGAGTATAGATTGATAAACCCTAGAGAGTTGACGGCCAGAGAAAGAGAAAGGAACGTTTGTGTGGGTGAATCTTGTGTAAGGAATTTAATTCATATTATCAATTCATACATAGATTCATATTATTCTTCTTCTCCTTCTCTTCTATTGTGATCTGGCATCATCCGTTTGATTGGGATTCCGCACCATCAAACGGATCTGATTGATACACGGGCAGATTAGGGACTTACAATTAGTACAGAGCTAAGTTGTATCAGTCAATTTTGTCAGATTTGGGGAATTATTTGATCTTATTTTCGAAATATTTTTGCGTTTTTGGATAGATCTCGCAAAAATAAGGGAGGGGGGGTTTGTTCTTCGCGTTTTTCGTAAAAACAGGTTTTTGATCGAGTTTTGCAGCAAAAAAAGGTGTTTTTAGTCGTAACCAGCGAGGGGGTGGTGCCGGTAGCTAGGGTTTCCGAGGAGCTTACGGCCGGAATCGTAGTATACGGCCGGAGTTTGCGGTCTTCGGTTTGCGGCCAACGCGCACGTGTACGGCTCAGCAACCTCGCACCTCGGCTTCACAGCAGCATCCTCGCACATGAAGACCTCGTCCTCGCCTCGCATCTAAGCATCAGCCTTCGTACTCGCACTTTACAAAAAAAATAGAAGCGCATTTGGAGGTGCCTGGTTTCGAACCCGCGATCTCCTGCTGATCAGTTTAGCACCTTATCCAACTCAACTACCCAATCAATTATTACA